AGAACTACCTTTCCCTTCTCACTGAAAATGCTGCACACTGAACCTGGTGCCACGAAAAGAGAGCAGAGCATGGTAGAAATGCGCTGCCGGAACAAAGGTGGCACCTGTCGCAGGTGACTGGGGAAATAAATCCCCAAAGCCAGGACTGCAGGAGCAAAAGTCCTTCCATGTTCCAAATATCAGTCAGGCCAGAGCTAGGAAATTTTGGGGGGCTCTAGGCATGCTTGACAATTTGAGAATTTGTCCTGGCCACTCCCACAAAACGGCTGGCATGGGACAAGTCCTTTGTCCTGAAACCCAAGCACAAGGCAGCGGCGCCCCAAGATCAAAACCACTCCTTTGAACGGACCGTGTTCCCCATCAACGGATCTTATTCCACATCCAAGAAGATGTGTTCATCAAAATGCAGAGGTGGGACGGGGAGGGCAACGTGGGGGTGCCAGGAATGGTGCTGGGCTCACGGGTGCCAGCAGGGTATCCTCTGCCTGGCCCTCTTCATGAGCCAACTGCAGCTTCCTGCACCCAGGGAGACAGAACTGGGGCATCTTGAGACATCCTGGCCCCGTTGGTGCCAATTCTGGATGTGCCCGAGAAAGTGGGAAAGACACTGGAAAATGCAGGCAGTGTCTCAGGAAGCGCTTCCTTCTGGAAAATGGAAACTGTGCTCACAGAAGATGCTTGTGGCAAAGGGTCCCTGCCACGAATCGGGGTTGATTCTGAGGGGATGAATTCCACAGCAAAGGGGAGAGCGCTTATCAGCTGGGGGCTGCTCCAAATGGCCACGGTGCTTATGTGCTTATCTCTCTCGTGTACATATGGGCTTTGCATAGATAGCTCCCTGGCTTGCCTTTCAGGGCCTTTTAGTAGCACTGTTGACCCTTTTCGTTTCTGTACCCATCTAGATATGGACCCAAATGGAAATAACCTGATAAGGGGGCTCTGGCCCAGGGGCACAAGAGTTTTTAAGATGCCACACAGGGTTTTTTTTAAGGGAGGGGAGATGCCCTCCCCCAATGCATACATGCGCTCTTTTGTCCTGTGGGCAGTGCAGTGCAGTGGTTAGAGTGTAGGGCCGGGCCTTGGGAGCATGCATGGCATTCATGGCACAAAATCCAGAAAACTAAACTCAAACCTAAAGCTAGTGGGCTGTGGGGAGGAAAGGGATACCCTGTTTGGATCCATTGTTTCCGTTTCGTTCATTTCTGCTTGTTTTCTTTTGTTTTGCCTTGCAAATGTATCAAACAGCAGCTTTTGCTTCTTGCTGTTTCTTATCATTTTGGCTGAAGAGCAAAGCACTGTCACAGTTGTACAGGATTTGATGACAGCCCTTTGGATCTGACCTTTGTAGTAATCATTTATACAGCGGGAAGAAGAGTTACATAACAGCCGGCATGTCGTGGTGGTTAAATTGCTGACCTGGGTTCTAGTCCCCACTCAGTCATGAAACTCACTGGGTCACTTTGGGCCAGTCACAGACCCTCAGCCCAACCTACCTTGCGGGGTTGTTGTGAGGAAAGGGGTCATGCACACCATCCGAAAGAGATTACATGAAGCACAAACCATGAGCTCTAATCATTTCATTAGCAGCAAGCCCGAAAACAAACTGAACCTGAAAAACTCAGTGGAAGACCCTTCCCCTGAACCCAACCACCCCCTGGAACAAGACTTTTTTTCGCCCTTCTGTAAATGGCAGAGGAGCATCCAGGCGTGCCTTTGCGTGGACTGAGCTGTAGAACTTCCCCGCTTGGACGAAAACAGGATCAGAGGTAGACTCTCAGTAGCATGCATGGAAATTCATCCAGGAGAAAACAATCTGGGGAGGTATTCAGGTCCCAGGGGATCTGGAGCACGGATAGATCTAAAGCCGGGACCGCCAGATGCCCTCTGGGACAACTTGCCAAAACAGGCTTCTGAGAGGCCATTCTTGGGGTACTGAACTCTTTTAATTCCATTATTCTTGTTTTCTCATTGTCTTTGAATGCACTGGTTCTACCATCCTGTTAATGCACTTTTGTTTATGATTGCAAGCTGCTTCGAGTTCTCTTGGTAAAAAGACAGCATACACATTGAAAAACAAATGCCCTTTGGGGGAAGGCAGCCTGCAGAAGGTCTCGGGTCCAATCAGGGAAAGCGTCTCCCTAAGACCCTGGAGGGCTTCTGCCTGTCAGTACTGGCAGTATTGAACCAGATGGACTGATGATCGGACTCAGTCCAAAGCAGCTCCCTCTCCCCATTTCACAAACTAAAGTTCCCTGTTCCAGCAGCTTACTTGCCAGAGATGCACTGTGAGATTTGGAAGAGTGACTCCCAGCCCTTCCAGGAAGGCACCATGGGACCCTTAAGCCTGCCCGACAGGCAGCAGCTTCCTACTCTTTGGAACTGGGGTCAAGCAACTAATGGAGGCTCTAGGGCACAGGGTGGAGCATCAGCTTTGCATGCTGAATTTCCCAGGTTTGATTCCCAGCATCTCCAGGTAGAGCTGCAAACATTTGTGCTTTAAAACCCTGGAGAGGTGCTGCTGCCAGTCAGTGTTGACAACACTGGGGTCAATGGATCATGGTCTGATTCAGTATTAAGCAACTCCCGGTACTGCTATTTAGGGAGGGGTGGTGGCTTAGTGGCAGAGCCCTGATTTGCATGCAGGGAGTCCTAGTTTCTCTGGACAGGGCTGCACCTTGTCCTGCCTGAAACCCTGGAGGGAGAGCCATTGCTGCCGATCAGTGCTGGCAATATGGAGCTTCCTCTCTTCCTCACTACAGCTATGCTGGTGGCTGGGCTGGATGTGAATTTCAGCCTAAAACATCTGGAAGGCTCCGTGTTGTCTGTCCCTGAGGTAGGGCTTCAAACGCCCAAGCCCACGCCTTGAACTGGCTCCAGAACCCTGCCGAGATCAAGCCAAGCTCTTTCCCAACCCGAGCGGTAGCATGCTTGATACAGCTCATCGCTTGCTCCCACGGAGAGCACGGACAAACACGTTCTGCGCCAGCTGTGACTTCTAAGCACTTCTCAAGGGCAGCCCCCCAGAGACAGCATCATGGTAATTTAGTTCTACTGGAAAGAATATTGCCGGTGGCCAGAACGAAAGCCTTCTTCCTGCCAACCTTATTAGCTGATCCCCGTGTGGAGGCTGCTCCCCAGCCCCCTTTTCCACAGCATCCCCCTAAACACACAAGGGTGGCCAAGCGTAATACCCTTGGGCAAAGCAGAACACGACGCTTTTTAATTGAGACAAGTGAGGAGCAGTTGGGTCGATGTGCTCCCTTATTTCTAAATTCATTCTGCACCACCCACCCACCCACCCACCTCCAGGCACCTCTGAATTTCAACCTAGCCTAAGACATGGAAACCACAGGGGTAGCAGGTACAGAGAAAAGTGGGAGGCAGGACACAAACTCCCACTGTTTCGGCACAGAGCGCTAAATTCTCAAGTTATGCTACAGCTGTAAATCCCCATGAAACAAGGTCTTAAATTGCAGCGCCAAACTGTGCTGAGAACCAAAACTGCAGCATTGCAGAGTCAGTAAGCATGTCTTCCCTCCAGGACTTAAATGGGTTTACCAGTCTTTCTCTCTCTGCGGGGAACCCTGGGAATTGCAGTTCTGCGAGGGAGGGGCTTCATTATTGCAAAGAGAAACTGCTTGTGGGGTGCGGGGGTATTGCCCAGAATCTCCCAAGGTGCCTTCCTCTCCCCTTATTAGCCGCATTAATTTACTCCTTTTTTTTTTTTTTTTTGCTAAAGTGGGAAAAGTGTGCATTTTAAACACGGAAAATGTGTGTTGGGGTGGGGGAGGGGTTAACAAAGGTACCAAAAAGATATATTTCTTCCCATAACATTCATTCATTCATTCATTCATTCATTCATTCATTCATTCATTGAAATGCCCACTTTTCCAAGCCCAAGTGCAAACTTGTGAATTTGCAAGCTTTTTGGAGAATGTTGTCGCTTGTTAAAGTTTACGTTCTGGGTGGCAAACAGGATGTCCGCTTGCTTTGTGAACACAAACAAAATTTTTCTACATTCCAAATTCTCAGTAGCCTGAGTCCACTACAGATGCCAGGATGTTTCTGGGTGAAGTCTTAGCAGTGCAAGGATGGGGGTGGGGGGTAAACTTAAAAAATGCAAAATTTCACTTTTGTAGAGCAACTGCAGAAAAATGCAGGGCAAGCTTGGTGTTGTCCAGGTTTTCCGAGGGCTGGTCCAGGATGGATCAGAATATGGCACTGGGTGTCTCCGTGCCCATTTTCTGGCACTCCTTGCCACTGGAACTCAGACAGGTGCCAACAGTTCTGGGCTTTGGGGGGCCTATTGAAAACATACTTTTCCCACAAAGCATTTGCAGAAACAATATTACCTTCCGTGTGCAGTGATATCATACAATATTTCATTCTGATCTTAAAAGGGATTTTGGTGCATCACCTGGATGTATCGTTTAATGTAACAAGAGTGGTTCATAAGCATCATCCAAGGAAGTTTCAGGGTGCAAACCTCTTGCTGCCCGAATTCCAGTCTGGAAAGGCGGCCGAGAGGCGGCCGAGGCCAAAGGCAAAATAGCAAAATACCAGCATAGTCTGACTTACTCGTAACCTCTTCCTGGCGGCATCTGAGCCTCAGGAGAGACAGAGCAGCCCTTTAGAAGAGCACCGAACCGCACAAAAGCAAGGAAACCAGCAAGTCACAAGGGGCTGGGAGAAAGGAGAGGCGGGCCCTTTGGGGAACACCAGACAAGGCCCCACGAGGCCATCACACCTGAGGTTCTGCATTCCTGTTGCGGCTGCAGGATTCTGTACCATTGGAAAATGGAGCCACAGGAGACCTGCCCACAGGAGATGCGGCAGCCCTCCTCCGCTGCTGGTCCCAGGGCAGAGCCACCTGTTCTAACACCTTTCCCAAGGCTCAGCCTCTGAGCTGAGATTCTCACCATAAAAGCCGGTCAAAGGGACTCTTCTTCAGTGACGATTACACCACGGGGAAGCGTTTGCTGTGAGGAAGTCAGGCTTACCTCTGTGATGATGAAGAAGTCGTCCCCCGGCTGTCCCTGGACAACGATCTTCTCTCCATCTTCAAACTGGACAGGTTCGAGTGCATCGGCCACCGTCAGTCGCTCCCACTTATCCAGCGATCCTGAAACAAAAAGATCACCCGGAAGGGTTTTCAGGGCGTCCCTTTCACGGATGCATTTGCTTCCCGCAATTTATGGCCTCCTTTGCCAACACGGAGCACGTCCCATCTTCAGCCGCCCCCCTCCTTTCTTCAGAAAGATGGATGGGTCATGTGCCTTTGGGTGGAAAATTCTCATATTTGCAACCCGTGGATGCATCAGCTGGCTAACTTGAAGGAACCGACTGAGCAACCAGGGCTTCATGTGATGCCAACACAATGCAACCTCCTCCGTTAGACCCAGAGGTGCCCAGAAGCAACTCTGGGGAAGAAGCTATCCAGGAGTAGCTGACTTCCCCAGTGCTTTGGAGGTGAGGCTATGCAAAAGACTTCGGCTTTGGAGGGAGAAACTCTCCCATAAGCCTCCATGTATTGGTCTCTGCATCCCTGCCCAGGTTAGATCCTGCCCTTGTGGGGATCAGCCTGACATGCATTGGCCAGATCCAAAGACCAGATACCATGCCCCTAAAGGAACTCTTAACCAGCTTTGGGTATCTCCCACTGTCCATGTGATCCCTGATTGCCCAGGATTCCCTGTGCAACTAATCCAGAAGGAAGGAAGGAAGGAAGGAAGGAAGGAAGGAAGGAAGGAAGGAAGGGCATCCAGAAAGAATTGAATAAACTAATGCAGCAGCAGATGCAGGAAACTTTGGACACCAAACCAGATGGAAAAAATGCAAAACAACCAAATGTGTTTTTTCAGACTTCTTTTCTAACTGTTTTAGACACAAAAATCAAAACAGTGAAGCCCTAATTACACACACACACAAACGCACACCTCTAGGGTCACTTAAAGAAGCTACTTGGAGTCCATCTTCCTGGATGATGCAAAACCCACAGCTGGAATTCTGCGCTAAGTAGGTTCTAGACTTTGCGGCTATAATGGCCATTATGGAGACATGCCCGGAAAGGAGAGCTTTACAAGGGTTCTTTGACTTAAATAATTGGCCTTATAACCCCTATATGTTATTTGAATCTTTGGTCATTAAGCTGTTCATACAGGTATTTAACATGAAGAAAATACTTCAGCTCTTTCCTTAGCTCTATGTTTAGCTCTATGAAATCTTTTGCTTAGCTCTATGGCTAACAAACCATGGTTAAGACAGCAGGGTTCAGACAACACAATACTCTATGTTTCAACAACAACCCATGATTCAACAGCAACCCATACTCAACCCCCAATCAACCCTTGAGTGTGTGTTTCCATGTTGTCTGAGCTCCATCACTGAGTCAGGCTTCAAAGATAAGGGGACAATCCTGCAAGCAATTATCCACTGGAATATGAACAGATGCTGTTCCAGGAAGCTTTGCAAGGGACGGTATCACTGGACAGGGTGCTAAGTGTCTTCAAAATGTTACAGTGCCAAAATCTGAGTTCAGAGCACAGCTTGATTAACACGGTGTGATCCAAATCCATCTCTGAAGTTTTTCTGCTACCCTTTGAATTTGATTTAAAATAAGTCGATATAATCATGCAGATGCAAGGATGATTAAAATGCTCAGTGTGATCTGCCATAATTGGCACATTCCACTTAACCTGGAAAGTAAGCCGCAAAGAAGGTAATTTCAGCATTCCAGATGCGTCATAAATAAATGGATGATTTCCCAGGCCTTCTCCTAATTCTCCTGTCAAGATCTAAAAGCATATTTGTTTATATTTTGTCGGACTTCTTTTCACCTTACCCCACCCTCAAAGCAAAAGGCACATGCCTACTAGAATAGTAAAGGAATATCACCTATATGGGACAGTCATATTTCCTACTTTACAGAGGACAGCCCTTTAACTGAAAACCCATAGGAGGAGAATCTGTATTTGAAGGCATCCTTGATTAATATCTTTCCAGTCCAAGCCTGGGTTAAAGAGGAAGAACTCTAAGCAGGGAGAGCAAAACAGGAGACTTGAAGTTGTCCACAATTAGCACCTGGACAGGTATCCTGGTCACCAGTTCCTGTGTCTACCGCACTATAATTAGAAGCCCCCTGGTCCTGAGGTTTTGCATTACAGTGAGATTCAAGCCAGAGCAGAGGTACTGGAAGATCAGGGTCTGCTCACCTTTTTAAGGCCTCAGCTATCAGCTAGGGCAACAGCTCCTTATAGGAGAAAACGTCACCTGCATTTTCTGCAGTGAGCTTTCCAAGGTCCTGACATGATGCCTGCCTTGCTTAATGTGTCCCCGAACAAGCAGTGGATGTTGTGGACACACCTGGCCAGAGGTCAGTGTTCCTCGTCTCTCCATGAGAAGTTTGCAAGGACTAGAGTAACTCTGCCCACCCAGAGTTCTCACTGACAGAAAGGGCAGTATGAAGGCTGGGTTTATTTGCCTAAGCAATCACAGCTGGTCACTTGCTCCTCTTTCTGCCATACCACAACTGCAGCCCCAAATCCTGGAGTTCTCTGGAAGGCTGACTAAGATTCAGCTCTGATAACACCACACCGAGATGGTCCTTGGCTTTCTCTACAATATAACCTCGCATGGTACCCATTTAATTCAGTGAAGCTTCAGGGCAGGATAATTTCCTGGTGGATCATGCCCCTTGTGGGAGTCACGTTATTCCATCAAGCCTATGGAAACAAAACTCCAAGGACAACTAGACACTAAGCCAGCCTTCAGTAGCCAGGTGTCCTTGGCTACAAGTTCCATCCTCTCCAGATATCATGGTCAAAGGGCACCACGCTGTGGAACACTGTACTGAACCAGTGGTTGATGCATCCAAGGTGATGCTCCAACAGAAATTCTGAGAGGAAGTAATGCCTCAACCCTTTCTGGGGCCCTGGTATGGGTGCATTCAAGCAAGGAAGGATTGCTTTTGAGTGGAAAAAAAAATTTATTACCCATCAGAGAAAACACCCACTGGATCGTGGCACATTCCCACCTCCTCACTCCCTGCTACCCACATGAGAAAGGATTGCTGGGGTTATCAATCAGAGCCCAGGTGGGTGGGTGTGGAATGCCTGCTCAGATCTTCCAGGATCGGATGTCCTCGTGCTGAGCTCTCCTTTGAATTATGACTCCGGTTCTGTGTTTTCTTCTATCTGGTTCCACTCGTCTTTCCGAAGGGGGCCAAAGACATGCTACAGTGAAATCCTGGTATTCAGTCTCTCATTCTGCCAGTGCTTGATCAAAGGGTGAAAGAAACTGCTCCCATCCCCATTTGTAAGGTGCGCATCCCTTTCACCCAGCAGACTGAGTCAACACACCTAGCTGTGACAAGTCTCTCCCAGTGCACTGCAGCCCGGGAAGAAAAAATGCAGACGGTCACAGGTTGAGGGACGGGGTTCGTGGGGATGCGTTTGTGGCTGCACCTCCAGAGTTCCTGAGGAAGGGTTTTGTTGCCCTTCCCCACCAGGTAAATCAAAAGCCAGCACCCAGCTCTGGTGCGTGCCAAAGGGTGGAAGCCAAAATCTCCTGGCCCGAGGCGCTTCTCCATGGGCACGATGCCATTACTGGAGGAGGAGAGCAGACTCTTATCATATTGGCATCCCTCCGAAAGAAGAACTGCACTTGGCGAAGCTGCGAATCTGCAAGGTGGGGGAGACGTTTAAAGGTCCTGCGTCCAGGCCTTGGTATCTCCAGGCAGGTCTGGGAGAGATCTCTGCCCGAAACATGGAAGAGCTGCCGTCTGTGTAGACAGACCAGCCTTGCCCGGCATGGGCCCCTCCAGATGTTCTGGCCTCCGACTCCGGGTGTCCCAGTCAGCATGGCCAATCGTCAGGAGTCCTAGCAGTGGTCACCCAGGTATCTGGAGAGCACCAAGCTAGGGAAGCCTGGTACAGGCAGGACTAGTGAGGGGTGATCCGACGGGCTGATTCTGTTTACAGCAACTTCCCCGTGTGTCACAGGACCAGGAGCTGTTCCAACAGCTTCCAGACAGGGATCAGGGCGACTAGTGAGGATCAAGCTATCTGGGATGGATGCAAACAGGAATCTGTAGTTAATGAGTGGGGAGTATTTCTTTTCAACCTTTTAGGAACGCAGGAGAAATTGCAGCAAGCAAGCTAGCAAACCGCCATTCCTCCTCCATTTTGGGGAGGAAAGTGCTGGGGAACTCAAGTTGGTTTTGTGGTTTACTCCAGGTAAACTTTGCATTGCAGGACGGACAGACGGATGGGCGGACGGACAGACAATGAACAGCCACAACCCCAAACAGGAAAAAACAACGCACCCAAAATGGAAACCTTGCTGAGGAATTCTTCATACATCTTCCGCTTTCTCAGTGTGCTCCCCTGTATGAGAAAGAGAGAAAAGGGAGAAGGTTGAGATGTTTTACGGGGCCACTCCGAAAAGTCCTTTCTACTTAGCGCTCTGCCTACAGTGACAATCCAACAGAGGAGACCTCTGGAAAGCCATCCCCGGCTATGCTTGTTTGTTCCCGAGCGCCTGTGGTGGGAACCACACGCAGAGCTTGCTTTGAGGATGCTTTGCCTTCATGGAGGAGGCAAGATATACTAGCAGCTGTTAACACAGACCGCAAGCGAGATCTGCAGCGAGATGTTGCAGCATGGAGCCTTCTTGCTCAGGACTCCAGCCAGCCATGGCCTTTTCTACTGTACTCCATTCCGTTCCAATTCAGCTTGGGGTGAGCCCAATCGGAATCCACCCCTCTAGTGCTCATACACTTCCTCTCATGGTCAGCCCAGGTCTGCAGCACAAGGCAGGCCAAGAGGAAGTCCACAAATGCTCGCAGCTTCCCACTTGCGCACCCAGCAACCTTCCCCATCACCTGCAGCTGCCTGAAGGGAGGCTACAGGATGCGGAAGAAGGGAACTGCCCGCTGCTCTGGGGCTGGTTCCTGGTGAGCACCCAGGAAGCGCTTACGAGGCACCCGGGGCAGCTGCAAAATGGGTCCAGGGAGCTGAACCTGATGGATGACCACCCTCAAATGGATTCCTCGCCCACGTCTAAATCCAGCAGAGATGCATACAGGCACATACCCTGCTTCTCCTCCCCTCTCCTTGGTCAACAAGCACCCCTGCCCACCAAACACGCTCTATCTAAGCTGCGTTGAGCATGCTCGGAGAAGGAGATTTTGGAGGTGTAGAGGATGAACGGAACATGCCTCTGAACCCATTCCTGGTCCACTGGGCTCCTGGCTCCAGTTGGCATCTGACCCCATAACTCACCACACTAAACACAACTCTCCATCGGCACTACCCAAAACAGTTTCACTGAGATGCTGTTGAAGTAGGTTTTGAGAACCCACGTCGGGACTCTCTTCTGAGATTTCTCCAGGTGCTGTCCACCCACAGCTTCTCAGAAACATCAGCACGGCCAGTACAAATGGCTTAAGGAGGAAGGGCTTTTATTTATTTTATTTATTATTGATTAATACATTTTTTGCAGCTCCGCCTGGAGCAATGACATTCCTACAAAGCACGTACAAAGGCTCACATTCGAACTCACAAGTGCCCATGAACCTTCTTTTCAGAGGTGCTCTCTTTGATGGACTGCCCTGTCCGATTCCAGCTGGAAGGAAAAGAACCCATTGGCATATGACCTCTCAGCTGGAAGCAGACGGACAGCAGACTACCTGGCTATGCGCTTGGGTGAAATTCACTGTATTTTTTCCCTGCAACCGAGTCTAAGCAGATGCATCGATCGATTAGTTGCTCGATTAAACTGCCTCATTATCCCATGAAAGTCAGGCAAGCTTGTAATGAGCACGAGAGGAGTCCATTCAAATTGGCAACATTCAGCGTCTTGAAAGAATCCAGCAGCCTGAGAGGGGACTAAATTGCCTGGCTTGCCACCTTCCCTCTCTCTTTCCCTGTCTGGGAGAAAAGCCAGGATATAATCTTATTTATGGTGTAGCACAACATACGTGGTTGTCCTCATGTATGGGGAGGACCAGCCCAGGTTTCACATGAAGCCTAGTGAAAGAACAGATGGCAGGCGAGAGCGTCAAGTCACTGGAGAAACACGACTGACTCTGCACCCATGAAGAGTCACCGGCCCACTCCTGGTGCTGAAGAAGAGGGAACACCACTGTGCGTGGCTTGTGTGTGCAGAACGGAAGCAGAAGGAATTTTTCCTTTGCTCTGGCAGCGAGATGTGGACGGCTGTGCACTGAATACGAGTGTCTCCTTGTGATCCTAGATAAGACTGCAAGAACTCCTGAGAATGAGGACAATAGTATGAACTTTTGGGGCCAGAAGGGAGCAGGTCATGGAGGCATGTGGTCCTAGACTGAGGGAAGGGCCCCCCACTAAGCAGACCAAATGGATTTGCTCCCTTGCGTATATTCCTCCTGCAGAGCAGTGGGTGACCTGCTTTAAATTCAGCGCAGTGCCTACTGTGAGCTGGAAGGTTACATTTTCTTGTGCTTTGGTGGTAGGTGAGTCATCACAGTTTGTTAAGATTAAGGAATTTTACTTCTTGTTGTTCAGGATGCTGGGACGTTCTCTCCTTGGTGAAGCCATTCCAGATACTCCCTCTGGTAAAGACTTGGAAACACTGGAAAGTGTTCAAACAGTTGGAACTTGAGCATCTTCTTTTAAAGTATTTGGTTTATCCATTTTATCTATTGCTTATTGAGTACTGATAGATAATATGGGTTCAGTTTATGTATGTGTTCACATCTATATTAAAGTTCTTTTTCCTTCACATCTTTGTTCTCTTGCTTTTTTCTTGTTAAATCAAGATCATTGACCATTTATTAGACCCCGGGATAGAATGGACTGCAACTCCATCCCCCTCAGCGAGTCCGCTGGTCTCTGGGGGTGATGGGGCTTGTAGTCCAGTGAGCTGGACAGTGTTTGGCTGGGCAGGACTGCTGCATAGGACTGGACTGCACCACTCATTCCATTGAACGGGGGTGGGGGGATGTTTCCGGCGTGGGCGAGACATCCTGCAGGCAGGGGGAACGCCACCTTCCCTTCCCAGCAGCCGGAAAGCAACCCAAGACTGATGCATGCCTTGCTGTGCGAGTCCGGCCAGTTAACTCCGAGCCCTTTCAGATCTGCCATCGACGCTTTAATCGATTCATCACACCGATTAGCCCATTCAGGCTTGCAGTCTTACTGCCGAACTGTACCAAATTACTTCCTGACCCTCTTCTTGGCGGATCTGCACCTGCCAGTGCATGCTGCAGGCCCAAAGACTGAGCAGAGGGGTGACATGTTAATCTTCCTTGGATCGGGGAAGCCGAAGGGTCATTTTACTCATCAGCAGGATGACTAAGCCACGAACAAACAGGGCAGGCAGAGCTGAGACAGGCCTGCTCTTCCTCGCAAGCAAAGCGTTCTTGTAAACTCGAGGAGGAGCCAAGGAAGTGGCCTGTGACTGCAGAGAGTGCAGGGAGGGCGATCTCGTGTTCATTCATTGCAAGTTCGAGCTCCTTTCGTAGTCCAACTGGCACCAGTCACAGGTAAGGAGGAGATGAAGTGCCAGCTCCCGGATCTGGAGGGCCCCTGGGCAAAGAGCCTTTGATGAGGCTGTCTGCAAATCTACTAATCCATATTAGCTGATGCGGGTTGATAAGATGAGATTTCAAAGCTCATGATTCTCTCAAAGAATGGATGATGGAACAAAAGGCACACAAGGCTTATGGAGCTTCCCGATAAATCCCTAATTCCAGGTGCGTTGGGTGCACACTCCATCACACCCAGCCACCTGGGAGCCAGGTTGCAGAAGGCACAACTACAGCTTATTTACTCAGGTAACGAGAGAGAGAAGGGCCACAGGTAATAGGAGAGAGGAGGACTGCTGACAGAACTCCTAGATACCTGCTCCGTTGACCCAGCTAGGCAGTGTCGTCTCTTCAGCTGGTATCATTCCAAGAAATTCTACCTGGACTTTTAGCAGGAAATCCCATTGGCTGAGCCTAAGACTTTCTGCCTGAGTTCAGTCATGAAGCCACATCCTTTCCCTGCTGGTCCCTCTAAGGCTGACTTCAAAGCCAAGTTGTGGTTTTCCAAGGCTTCAGTTCCTTACTCGCCTTGGATCCTTGGAATCGGGGCTGCAGAACCTTCCTAGGGCTGATCGGCTCTGGGGCCGCACATGCCCAGCAGGCAAAGCCACACCCCCAAGTGGGCAGGGCTATCCCAGCATTGCCACTCCCTCCGCTCCAACTTGGCCTTCACCTAGTTCTGCACACTGGGATACCCTCTCAACCATGGATGCGCAACCTCTCCCAACCCACGGGCCAAATTCCATTTGGGGGCAGTGTGCCAGTAGAATGGAAGGAGCTGAAGGCAACGAGTGGAGCCAAAGAGGGAAGGCCAAAAACACCTGCATATTTTCACCTACTCTGAGTGACAGCAACTCAGCTTTCAGAGAGATTTCGTCCTTTTAGAACTGCAGCAGGGGGTGGGTGGCACATAAACCAGACACCCACCAAGTTTGGAGGTTGCGGGAAGGAGTTGGAAGCAGGGAAAGGGAAAGAAATCATAGCTGTCCAGGGAACCTCGGAGGGATGGACTTGGACCCCATGCCTCCAGGTGGCTTCCTTCCCGTTCCTATCTAGTTTAACTAGCACAGAAGTGGGTCTCCAAACCAGAGGCTCAAATGGGTGTTGAGCCTCTTCACATCCAACGGTCCACTCGGCTGTGGACAACTCCTTGGGGGCTGCATTCCAGAGGCGAACCAAGTGGCCCAGCCATGTATAAAAGACTTACGGCCAGTATGGACACTTTAGGGAAGGCTTTTCACCCTCTGAAAATGATGTAGAGGAGAATACACCGAAGCTAGGAACATAACCAACCATTGCTGTGTGGGGGGAGGAATTGCGGTGGCTTCCTGGGGAACCCCCGAGTCTGGATTGGGTCCCCCAAGAATGCAGAATAGGGACCTCCCCATTGATCCAGATTTGCCCCTGGACGTGAAGCTCTGCTCCCGATTGAAAGAGAGGTGCCAGGAATCCGACTTGTGCAAAGCAGCTGTTCCTTCACTGAGCCACGGGCTCTGTAAGATAAGCACTGAATAAACAGACTGTACGCTCCAGGCCGCTCTCCTCCGTGTTTGCTCTGATCTGCCCTGGCCTGCGGCGACCCTTCCCTGACCTCGCTGTCGGATGAACCTGGCCCCTTCTCCTGGAGGATGCCTGAGCCCTGGAAATGCTAGACATTACAACAATAAAGCCCAGCCAAAACCTGACAGCTCAGCGTGGGACAGCGAACGGAAAACTGGACACCGGGTGCGCATCTGTGTCCTGCAGGATCCAGGGCGGCGGTTGCAGCTGCTGGAGCACAGAAGATCTTGTGGCTGTGGAAAGGCAGGCAGGTGTCTG